GCAGGAATGTTCTGGAAGGGATTGATAGATTCCCTTGGGAGACACAATCAGCAGTTTGCTCTTATCACTGGTCAGCAGGAGCTTGTTTTTTCCCACCTTCATTTTGACACCTATCCCTTTAGGTTACACTGGGCAAATCATTCCATCCTTGCTGAGGATTCTTCAGGTTGTAAGGTGCCACTGTCATAATAGAGTTGTCATGAGTAATGATTTCCTATTGCTGAAACATTCATGGATGGAGAAGCCCAGATTCTTGTTAGATTTTAAGGGTCGCACTGGAACCACTTTGCAGATAAAACTTTCTTAGTCCCACAGTAGAAGCTACAAAACCCAAAGGAATCAGCCTTTCTTGCTGAGGTAAGGAAACAAGCACAGTCCTGAGAGCCTCTGGTCCTTCTAGCACAAGTCTAGTGAGTATCTCTTCCAGTATATTGACCCTATTTTGTCTTCCCATAAGGACCAAAGCTCTTGAAATGCAGAGTATCTCCTTCTGCAGGAACGGCTACCCAATCTTTAAAGCTTCCAGAGGCTGTGATTGTGCCAGTGCCACAGATGTGCCATTCCCTTGACCTTGTTCCTGGATAGTGTGTGAACCAGAGCCTGTCCAATTGATCCTTATCAGCAGGGGGGGCAGGTATCCCACAGCTGTGCAAACAGCTGTTCTGCCAAGTTTACTAGTAGAGTGAAGTTGCAACGCACACCTGCTTGAAACACATCCAGGTATTTTTCTTTCATAAACATTTTTGTTTGTAAAAACCCATTTTTTTTTGTACAAACCTATTTTTTTCTTTTATAAACAAAATTGATCTTTATCTGTAACAATATTGTATTTCTAATCTCAGACCTTTTCCTCTTTAAAACAATACTCCGATTTTGACTCGCTTTAAGGATTTTGAATGCAACTCTCTTCATCGTGCCAACGTACGTGCATACACAGAGGCATTGAATACGTGTGTAAAGACACTGCGTAGCATTTGAATTGCCTTTGGCTTCTGGAAATGCTAAATTTGCATTTACTCTGTATAGCCTTTCATTTCTTAAACCCACACATGTACTTGCAAGGAATTTTCAGATGCTAACATCCATTCTGTATGTATTTAACCAGTGTGAGCTGGTGTGTGGAGCCCTGCTGATCGATGCTGTCAGAGCAGGGCTTGCCTGAAGGAGGCTGTGACCCTGTGGGAAGCCTGCACTGGAGCAGGTTCCTGGCAGGACCTGTGTCCCCGTGGAGAGAGGAGCCCACTAGCACTGCAGTGGGTTTGCTGCAGGACTTGTGGCCCACACTGGAGCAGTCTGTTCCAAGGATGCACCCAGTAGAAGGTACCCACACTGGAGCAGTTCGTGAAGAACTGCAGCCTGCGGGAAGGACTCACATTGGAGAAGTCCATGGAGGACTGTCTCTCGCAGGAGGGACCCCACGCTGGAGCAGTGTGAGGAGTCTTCTGAGGAGGAAGGAGCAGCAGAGACAATGTGTAATGAACTGATGACGAACCCCATTCCCTGTTCCCCTGCGCTGCTGGGGAGGAGGGAATAGAGAAGTTGGGAGCAAAGTTAAGCCCGGAAAGAAGGGAGGGGTGGGGTGAAAGTGTTTTTTAAGGTTTGGTTTTATGTCTTATTATCCTATTCTGGTTTTATTGATAAGAAATTAAATCAGTATTTCCCCAAGTCTAATCTGTTTTGCTATGACAGTAACTGGTGAGTGATCTCCCCCTGTCCTTATCTCAACCCATGAGCCTTTCATTGTATTTTCTCTCCCCTGTCCAGTTGAGGAGGGGAATGATAGAGCAGCTTTGGTGGGCAAATGGTGTCCAGCCAGGATCAACCCAACACATTATGCTTCAAATCTGAGTCTTCAGACTGTTTTCAAGTCTTGTGTGTGAAGCCTGTGTTCAGATAGTGCGATGTGTTCAGATATCAGGCAATGCTGAAATACTGAGGGCCTGCTTTGAATCTTCTCTCCTACCTTAAAAGAAAATGGCCAGCAAGTCTTCATGAAAGTCTTTTAAGATGAGAAGAGAATGACTGTAGGAAGGTGTTTTGTAATAGAGCCTCAGAACAAATTAGTGTGCATTTTAGTACAAAGGAAAGAGGATTCTGCTGTTGTGACACTGTTATTTACAGGCATTTTCTCTCACTGCCTGCACCCGGCAGCGCAACAGCAGGGAAAATGTGATTTCAAGCACTTTAAATCACTATCTCTCAGAAGCAGAGCAGCAGGGTTATGAGTGTGATGGAGTTTTGTATGAACAAAGTATGATTATGAGATACTCTGGCTCAGGATGGGCATTATGGTCCTGGAGCATGAGGACTTTGGCATTGGCAGTGCCAGTGCCAAGGCTTAACCATCAGTAAGACATCAGTTCTGGAGCCTTCCTGGGAGATCGGTGTGATACTGGCATTTAAGAACTGGCTGAGTTATCCTGGAGAAGCTGAGTTTCAGGGCTCTAGTCTCATTTTTGAATGGGTGAAGCATCAAAGAGAAAGTTGCTGAGAATGAAGGTTTTTGTGTTGTGTGGCACGGCCTTGA